AGCCCTAAATTAATCTTATACTCATCTAGACTCCCCAGTAAAAGGATCTTTGACTCTTGGCCATTCTGTTAGAAGCTGATTTAGGAAGAAGAAAGCATGACATGGTATAAGTTGGCATGAGTTGATTAAACTTTTAAGAAGGGGGTAAATTATTTCCCTTCCAACCGTTACTGTTGTTTTTAACTCTTTCAATAAGATAGTTAAACGCTTTCCTTTTGGTTCAGCCAAGATTAACGAGGCCTACATATTTATTAGGGTCTTAGATAAATTTAAAACTCAAACTTTTGGTGATAATTTTTCTTTTTAATTATGGTGCATATTCTTGGTAAAGAAGATTTCATATTTGTTGAAGTTAGCTTCCTGCCTGGAAAATCTTTCATACTCCTTTAGCCCTTCCAAAATCTCTTTTCCCTCCTTAAAAGAAGCCCATGGGAGATAGTTGAGCTCCTCCACAAATTCTGATTCTAATACTACTGTTGCTTTAGGCTAAACTATTCAATTTCTTAGAAAGCACATTAGAGCAAAGCAAAAAAAAGTAAGGTGAGAAGGGATTACCTTGCCCTTTGGATGAAATAATAGTTCTTTTTCTAGGAGATCCATTGACTAGAACCCAAATTATGGTGGTCAAAAATTGCATGATCCAATTCATCCATTTACTACCAAAAACTCATCCTTTTCACTACTTCTTTTAGGAAAATTCACTCAATTCTATCATAGGATTTATTCATTTCTAACTTGAAAGCTGATGTGGCGTAATCCGGCTACTCCCTATTGGATATGACTTGGCTTCCAGCGACGATGAAAATGGGTTCCTAAAAGAGATAAGTCAGAGATCCCGGGGTGGCTCACCCGGCGTGGATACTCCGATGGCTAAGTTAGAACACTGTGATAGTGGAGAGCTTGAAGGTGATAACAGTGAGAGAGCTCAGAGAGTGAAGATTACACACACAACAATAATAAAATCAAACGTACCTTCGCCCCTGGTGGGAGCGGGGTCTTTATACACTGGCTCAGGTGGGTAGGTGGAACGGTCACTGAACCCCTGTTACGATGGGACCTGTCGCGTGTTAGGTGGTTGAAGCGCCACCAAACGGTAATACTATCACTTCCCGTCAGAACGGGGAGTTGGTGAACTAATGTTACCGTTATAAGTACGACCTTGGGGGTTCAGGGATGGGGGTGTATTCCCCAAGGTTGCCATGTAGAGATCTGTACGGTAGGTGAGCTACCTGTAGGATACTGGGCTGCTCGGTAGCGAGCTAATTGGTAGCGAGCTTCTAGAGCTCGCGTTTTGGTCTGAAATGTCGTAAATGCCGAAGTGCCCTCCGGCTGAGGTGATCCCAGCGTAATCTTGTGCGGTGTGTTCATCCCGAGGTGACTTCAGTTCGGGGTACTAGCATACCCAAGCTTGCTTTGTACCGAGCTGACTCATGCCGAGTTGTCACTTGTGTCGAGTCACGTCCACGTGCCGATCTGGTTACGTCGAGTTGTCGCTTACGCGGAGTCAAGTCCACGTGTCTTCCTACTAAGAGGTCGGACCAAATCCTCTTTCATCAATTGCCCCCCGCTCCTCGAGCTAGGGGTCTTGACTTGGTTTGAGGAGTTCACGGTGTGCCAAGTGGATTTGGCTCGAAGTCTGGCTGACGTCGGATGGATCGCCATAATTTACGCGCGGACGTCAAGGGATCTATAGGTCTCGACCTGCTTACTTGAAGAGAGGTGGGAGGGACTTGTCTTTCTCTTCTGCCGTGAGATGAGGCCTGGGAGGTCTCCTCCCAGTCAGGATGGCTGCTTTGGGGTGATCGGACACTGAGGTGGGGTAGGTTGCTGGTTCTGCTGTAGCAGTGGGAACTGCTACTGGTACATGTGATGCAGAACTTGTTGTTGGTACTGCTGGAACTACTGCATTTGGGCTTGAATAGCCCGTACGCAGTATACCAAGTCGTTTAGTTGGTTTTGTCCAACTCCCGGGGGAGCTATGGACGGTTCAGTGGAGGTTGCGCCCGCTACAGGGGGTAGTGGGGCATTCAGAGGCCCAAATGGTTGAAGCACAATAGGCGTTGGGATCCCACCCGCGGGAAGCGGTATGGTGAACTGGACTATACAGACAGTTGGGGGCTAAGGTTGCCCCCCATTGGTGTTTGCTTCATTGTGTTGTCCGGCATTGCTGGAAGAAGCCATAGGTCTAGTTTTTGAGTTCTTTTGGTTCTCGAAAAGAGGACAGAAAGGCTTTTTGTAAGCTTCCCATAGACGGTGCCAATTGATGTGGCGTAACCCGGCTACTCCCTACTAGATATGACTTGGCTTTCAGCGACGATGAGAATGGGTTCCTGAAAGAGATGAGTTAGAGATCCCGGGGTGGCTCACCCAGCATGGATACTCCGATGGCTATGTTAGAACACTGTGATAGTGGAGAGCTTGAAGGTGATAACAGTGAGAGAGCTCAAAGAGTGAAGATTACACACACAACAATAATAAAATTGAACATACCTTCGCCCCTGGTGGGAGCGGGGTCTTTATACACTGGCTCAGGTGGGTAGGTGGAATAGTCACTGAACCCCTGTTACGATGAGACCTGTCGTGTGTTAGGTGGTTGAAGCGCCGCCAAACGGTAATACTGTCACTTCCCGTCAGAATGGGGAGTTGGTGAACTAATGTTACCGTTATAAGTACGGCCCTGGGGGGTTCAGGGATGGGGGTGTATTCCCCGAGGTTGCCAATGCAGAGATCTGTACGGTAGGTGAGCTACCTGTAGGATACTGGGCAGCTTGGTAGCGAGCTTCTCGAGCTCACATTTTGGTCTACCCTTGTCGTAAATGCCGAAGTGCCCTCCGGCCGAGGTGATCCCAGCGTAATCTTGTGCGGTGTGTTCGTCCCGAGGTGACTTCAGTTCGGGGTACTGGCGTACCCGAGCTTGCTTTGTACCGAGCTGACTCATGCTGAGTTGTCACTTGTGTCGAGTCACGTCCACGTGCCGATCTAGTTACGTCGAGTTGTCGCTTATGCGGAGTCAAGTCCATGTGTCTTCCTACCAAGAGGTCGGGCCAAATCCTCCTTCATCAAAAGCCATTAGCCCTTTCTTGCTCTTAGCTTCCCTGGTATGGTGATAGATTTAACGAGTGATGAGGATGTTTTCAGTGATTGCTCTACCTAAGAGAATAGCACTTTAGTTCTTTGTTATAGCCTTTTCAAGGATTCTTTTCATTCTATTTATCAAGATTTTTGCTATGACCTTGTACAAAGTGTTGCAAAGTTAAAAAAAAAAAAATCCTTAATAGTAACAATTGTTTGTCATCTTTCAACATATTCCAATCCTTTTGAAAAAAAGAGGTTTAGGTATCCACTGGGACCCAAAACTTTTCACAGGACCCTTTCAAAGAGAACTAATTCAATTTCCTCCTCATTGGCATCCATCTCTAATTCAAATCTCTCATTCTCAAAGACTTTTTTTCCAACTGTTGTTGCCTAGGATGGGGCCGAGGGCAACAAGGTAACTTCGCTTTTGGCTGAGGCCAATGTGTCCAAACTGAGAGCAAGGAGAGAGCACACGTCAAAGGTCCAGGTGTTATCCTAGGGGTGGAAATTCTGACGGTCAAGTTAGTCAAGCATATGAGAGAAGTTGGACCAGGCTTGAGGATGTGGGCTCAGACAAGGTCACTTGAGAACAAGAAAACTAGAAAGCAAGGAGCAAGATGGATTTACCTGTTGTTGGGCACCCCCATTTATACGTGACCTTGCAGTGGAGTGGTTAGAGATTGTTAGGACCGGACGACCAGGATCTCATTTGGCCGATGCCACATGGTGCGATCATAGGCCTTGTCATATGCACCTACATCACTTGCTCCCCACTCTCGAGGTCGTGGCAATCAAGGTCGAATGATGCGATGGGCTGAGACCTCGGCTTCAACCAAAGAGAGTATTATAGTACCTTGTGGAGGCGTAGGATTGCGCATTTGACAAAGGCCTCAACTTTGGCCAAAGAGAGCGTCATACAGTGGCACGGAGGCGTCGGTCTCGGTTGTTGAGAGCTTCCTTGGGTAACCTTATAGTGACTTTTTCCTTGTCGACTTTCTACCTCTTTGGAGAATCATGTCGAGCCAATAAAGGGGCGAGACCATGCATGGCATGGTCTTTATTACTATTTTTACTAATTATTAAATATTTTTTTAATTATTTCATAGACTTTATTACTATTTTTATTATTATTTTAATTCTTCATAATTTATTTTTAATTTATAAATTTATACATACTTCCAATTTTATTCTTATTTTAATAAATTATTTTTTATTTTTATAAATTTTATTTGTTTTATTTATTAATTATTAAATACTTTAATAGTTTTAAGATATTAATTTGCTAATTATTAAATATTTTTTCATTGCTTCATGGACTTTATTACTATTTTCATTATTGTTTTAAATTTTAATTATTTATTTTTAATATATAAGTTTATATGAATTTTTCAATTTTATTCTTATTTTACTAAATTATTTTTTATTTTTATAATTTATTCATATTTTTAATATTATTTTTGAATTTAATAATTTAATGTTTATGAAATAGTGCAAATTGAAATCAAAATTATTAAATAATTTGTTTTAGGGATAAAATAATAAAATCAAGGAATTTCAATACTGAAAGTTCGATCCAATGCAAATAACCTTTATCTATTCAGAAAAAAGCATTATGCCTCTTTTCAGATTCTAAACACTTTTAATATCTTTTTAACTTTCCAGGTTTTAGATTTTAGATTTATCAATTGTGATCTCAGTCTGTTTCTTCATCTTGATTTAAGCATCTCCATTCCAAGCTTCACGTTACCCCGTTCAGTTTGAGGAGCCTAATAGAGCTAGCAACTGCCATTGAAACTGACGTGTACAAGATTAACTCTAGATAATATTCTGAGAATTATCTCTTTGTCATGTATTCTATCTAGAATTCTTCTTGTAACTTATCTTTGATATAACTCCTGTATATATTAAACACTGTACTCTCATAATTATCTTCAACTATTGCATTTTGTTCGATAGGGTATGAAGCAAAACTCTTAAACAAAAGTGTGCGTACATCACCGTTATTAATTGGTCATTTTACATTTTTTGCATTCATATCTCCTGCTGCTTTGCTGACTCGATCAGATTTTCACATCCTGACACCATGTAAATGTAAAACAAGAGAGGCCGAGATTGCAGCCCCGAAAGCTGCAAGTCCGCAGTAGTTTTTATTGTTAGTAGCAGCTGAGATTTGACGGTTGCCATTCCGATTGCTGGCAGCTGCAACCCCCGCCGCTGCATATAATGGAATTATTGCCGCCGTGGTTCCAGCTGCTGTGGAGCTGCTACCACCACTTGCAGTTGCAGCAGATGATCCTCTCGCACTGCTACCTCCACCGGAACTACGACCGCGGCTGCCACTAGCACGAGCACCGGCAGAAGCTAGCCGATTGACCAACAAAAAACTGTAGCGTCCGTCTTCTTTTCCGGTTGGCATTCTTTCATTTACTTCATCCCCCTTGACGTGTTCCTGCAGAAGAGCTACAACATGCAAGAAAAAAAGTCTAGAGAGTGACTGGTAGAATCAAAAGTTGTTGCACCACCCATTGGCGGGTGTCGGCAGGAAAAAAAAGCAAGAAAGAGTAAAGGAATTGATTGGTTTTCTTCGCTCTCTGTGTCTACAGAGATCGGCTCTACTCTAAGTCCAAGTAATTGATGAAATAATTCACAGGAGAATCTCTAATGGCAACTTTAATTACCCAGTATTGATGCATCATGTCAAGGTTTGAAGTGTGAGCTTTCAACAAGCAAAAGAGAAAAGAATATCATCAGTTACCTGAAACTAGGGATCCTTCTGCTGGCAGACGTAGAAGGTTGAAGAAGAGCATCAGTAATAAGGCCATTTCTTTCCCTCCCATCTTCCTCAGTAAATTACTCCACGTCGTCTTTAATTTGTTGATATTTGTTTAGCACGTCTACTTATAGTAGAGAGAATCCAAATTCGCTAATGCTATAGGAAAAGGAAGTAAGAAAATGAAGAAAACGTTTACAAACTTTATATTGGTTTATCTATTTTTTCCTTTCTTTCCCTACCTTTTTCCTTCAAACCATACATGACCTACTTATTTTTTAAAACGAAATCCAAATCCACATGCTATACCGAAGGTATGTTGATGGCTTGAATGAGTTCAAATCAGGACACTGAATCCGGTCCGGATTTGAATTGAATACCATGGGCTGCCATCTTGAACATTTCTTGTCATACTAATGGGAATAAATTCCTCGTAATCTAGCCACTTGGCTCTTTCTACCTCACCAGCTTGATTTGCATCTTTGTTTCTGATGCAAAAATTCTGAAAAACAGTTTTTGACAAACACCCTCCCAACGCACCAATTTGTAAGGGTACAATCTTGGCGAAGTTGGAACAACGAAAAATACGAGGAATGACAAACATTTGGCCTGATGATACAAAACCATCTTTGGTTGTGCTCGTGTTTGATGACAACCATCATTCTGTATATAACAAGGTTTTAAAAACCAATCTGCAATAGAAACCGTTCTGGTCTCACCAGTTTCCGGATTGACGGTTTGACTATCTAGTTTAAATGGATGGTTCATCTTAATATAAAAAATAAAAAATAAAAACGGTCAAAACTGTTGAATGGGTTGAACAAATCAACGATTCGACTGCCCAGGTCAATGAATCACTAACCAAATCAACATTTTTTTCCAAGGATCAATGGAACCAGTTACTTGGATGGTTCTCGGGCCGAACGGTCTGACATCAGGGTCAACAACGGTTCGTATGCAATTTTCATGTTATTCCTGGTTGCAAGTATGCAACATGGCAGTTATATGGTGTGTCTCAAACCAATATGACTTCCATCATTATGTCTGTGTTACTATATTATCAAATGTAGATAGTGAAAGTACATGTGCATATGAATCGTGCTCACATATCATGGTTTCAAAAATGAACCACAAATAGATCAGTTTCTTTTGCATTGCGTGGTTCCAAAAAAAAAAATTGTCGTTTTTAAGAAAAAAGGAAAATAAAATTGATATGGTTTTAAAACATAATAGGCCTATTTTTTTTTTAAGAAAAGGGAAATTGTCTAATACTCACCATAACTTTTTAGCATTTCTCTTAAATTCATCATAACTTTTCAAAACCTCCAAGAATTCCATATCAGTGAGCCTTTGTTTTTCAAAACTCACTATTCCTTAGAATACTGTCAGTGTTCCTTGACAGAAGTTGTCCATGCCAGAATAAATGCAATTTTCATGATGAAAGTGCTCCTAAATGGTGAGTCAACCATATTAAAAATAATTTTATGACTAGATTTTTACTCATTGAGAGATGTTTTGCTCTCATTATGCTACTTGAAAGTATTTCAAGGAAGCTGAAAGTTGGGTATTTTTGGATAGAATAATAACAGCGGTATTTCTTAAATATGCTGAATTATAATTAATGCAGGGTAAAATGGTAATCTATCAACACCCATTAGTCTATTTAATGTCAAAGTTACTGTCATGGGGTCCCTGGACGTTTCGAAAAGTTATTATGGTGAGTTTAAGAGAAATTATGAAAAGTCAATGTGAGTTTTAGACAATTTCCCTTTTTAAAACCATGAATTGAATACAAAAAGTGGCTCCTGTCCATTTTTGACGTGTTAAAATACAATAGTTTTAAAAATGGACTTGGAACCAGAACCATTTTGGCCATTGGTTTCTGGGTCAGCGGCTTGACCATGTGATCTGAACAAACGACCTGTTGCAATTTTAAAAAATAAAAAATAAATAATTGAAACAAAAAACAGCCAAAAAACGTTGTCCGAATAGAATAGATCAGCGGTTCAACTACCAGATCAAACTGATTGCATGAACGGTTCAAGGATGAAACAGAACTGATTGCCTGAATAGTTTTTAAGCCAAACGGTCCGACCATCCATATCAAAGATGATCCTAAAACCATGTAGAATAATATGAATTCATCGAGATTTTATGGTTTACTCAAACATAAACGATTCAAACCCTGGTCTTAGCTACAACCAACCAAAGACTTTTAGCAAGCTAATTGGCACCTTGGACAGATAAAACTTTCTTGCTGAATCATCACTTCATCAACCTTTCCTTTACATTTTCGCTTTTAATTATAGTAGGTTGTGTTCAGCTTGCTTACCACCCATTCTTTTTACTTTTAACTTTTCTGCTCAAAGGATGATATAGAACAGCCTGAAATATTGACTAAGAATTCAATAAAGCAACCGTCGGAGATTTTGTCTAAACTAACTTTAGGGTTTTCATCATTATGCCTCTTCTTTCTTATTACTTGCAGTTAGATTAAATACTCTAATAGCATATGGTTTTATCGATCTATCACTGTGTCGCCGGATCAAAACATTTTTATTTAATTGATACGAAGTAAATTATTTTGCAAATTAAATGTATGATTAAAGCCCGTGATTATGTCCATTGGATATTGGATATTTGGATAATCTCACATGATAGGATCCCGACTGTTCACTGGTTTTAACATACATTAAGAGGATCACCCTAGTTTAATTTTCATCATTCCATCAACATTTCAGAGGGAGTTGGTCAGTTAAATGTGAACGATTTTGCTGATTGATGTATAAGTTTGTTTGTTTGTTTGTTTAGAAAGCAAAACCATGTTGTCAAATGCCTCCGAATTGAAAACATAAAGGAGACGTGCCGTCACTTCATAATTAATAAATCAAAGTCTTACATTCTTTACCTGCAATATGCTTTTATCATCCACCATGGAGCACCTTCTCAGGCAATCTTTTAAATGGTTGAATACACTGAATATGGACCAGTACTGTAAACAGTCATGGATTCGATACATATCTTTATGTCAACACTGAAGAGCCCAGTAACTAGCTCTCAGGCATGGGTCCATCATCGTGTGTGTGGTGGGGTTGCAAAGGCAGATGATCAGTTCCTCTTAGCTTCGCTTCATTGGTTATAACTTTGTTTTTCATCTATCTTTCAACTCCGCTTTATACATTGATTCCATTGGTCGTGAAGAGGAAGTTATCCTTTCTATATGATCTTCCGCCATTTCAGCAGCACCACTTTACAGAAATGTGCTGATCTGATCTCTGGTTTAAGGTGATAAACATCAAATTTGACGTTTTAGATAAAAATAATAATTTGTATGGATCAACTCAAAATGTTTATTAAATATATCTAAGTGAAAAATCTCCCTAACTCGTAAATTTGTATTGATAATCTAACAGTACTACCAAACACCTGCACCACCAGTCCTAGCAGATATGCAGATTCGAATCCTATTATTACCACTTATCTCTGTAAGTTGTTAAGGTGTACGTTTCTGCAGTTAGAGTGAGACTGCTCTGAACTCCTGGATTACCTGTCTCTTATTGCTCTCGGCTTGTAGAGTGAGACAAGGCCCATCAATTCTGGGTCTTAGAAACAGGTATCCGACCTCTGTTCAAATGTTTCCTACTCGATTCATAAAACAATGAGTTCACTTTTGCTACTACATCAAGTCTTTTGAATTTATGCTGTGGCCTCACCAAGATGTCAGTTCATTTAATTTAATTCAAGGTGGGGCCACATCTGTAAATCAAAGGCTTTCACAGTGTCATAGAAAATGTGGTTTGCAATTGCAAACATGGATGGATCCAGTGGCCGATCCAAACTTCACTGAGCCTGCTCCATTTGTAGCCTAAAATTGGTTTGGGTTTATTTTCTACTAGAACCATTCCTAACTAGTTTTTTTTCAACCATGACTGGAACTGGAAATGGCTAAGCAAAGCATGATATTCAGAAATTAAAAAAAAGAAACGCCAATCTATCATCATATGCAGGATATTTCGAAGCCTTTACACAAGTTGATCTCCATTTAGTTCTGGGTTGTTTCAAAAGCTATACTGAAATCATTAGTTTTCATCACATAGTTGATCTCCATTAGTTTTCATCACTTAATTTCATAAATCTATATAATATAGGATATATAGATTCATTTTAGGAACTCAAGAAATGAATTAATTCTTTAAGGTAATTAAATTACAGATACATTCTGTACTTAGAGGGTGGTAACACTTAAATTACAGATACATTCTTTAAGGTAATTAAATCACAGATACATTCTAAGTGTTACCACACTTAGAGGGTGGTAACACTTCAAATTCCAACACTTCACCTCCGACCCACTAATGGGGTTGACAAAGAAAGTAAAATTGTTAAACTGTCCATTTGAGATTTTAAGGGCTGACAGCAACAAATATCAAAATGATAAAAATAGTCATTCTAATACACAGATCATTCTCAAGACATTGATGAAACCAATCATTCTCCAGGTGTTCTCAAGATGAATTTTATTGAAGGAAAGTAAAGAGAAACATGTGACAGTTAGGATTTTAGAAAAGCTAATTAAGTTAAAAAGATGGTTTCAAAAAATTAAGTTAAAATTAAGGACAAATGGTCTCATAAAATAAGGGTAGTTTGTGTTTTAGAAATACTTAACAGAATGGTAATGTGCTTGAATCCAAAAGTCCAGGGGCCTTTTGGAAAGAGAGCAAATACAAACATGGACCACACAAATACAAGGATTAGAAATATTTGTATTTGCACTCTTCCCAAACTTAGCCTTTGGAAGAGTGCAAATTAATACAAACATGTTCAGTGCAAAACATTGGATACGGTATTTCTAAATGTAGATGCAAAACATTTCATTTTGTATTATTTTATATGTATTTGTACTGTATATTTTTGCATTTGTACTCCTTTCAAACTGAGCCTTAGGCTGTGTTTGGATGATGTGCAATTTTATTTGCACTAGTACAAATCCATGGGAGTGCAAATGTAAAAAATGCATATTCTTGCTTAATATTGTTTTGAATTTTATTTTATTCTGCTTCATGTCTTAATTTACTTCATTTGTGCTTTAATCAAACAAAATAAGCTAAAATTTGAAACAAAAATAGGTCAGATTTTATACTAATATAAATTTCTCAAATCATTTGCTGCACTACAATAGTTTTGCATCAGTGCAAATTTATTTGCATTGCAACCAAACACAGCC